AATTAGGTAATATTTCCCCAAAATTCGGAAAATCTACTTCCCGAAAAGTCGATAATCTACTTTCCCGAAAGTAGAAATTCATCTACTTTTCGGGAAAGTAGATAACCAACTTTCCCGGAAAGTAGATATTTCCCATTTTTTATGATACAAATTTCCGTTTTCTATGATAATCTACTTCAAAATTAGGTAATATTTCATTCTAAAATCTACTTCTCGAAAAGTCGATAATCTACTTTCCCGAAAAGTAGAAAAAATTACCATTTTTCGGGAAAGTAGATAACCAACTTTCCCGGAAAGTAGATATTTCCCATTTTTATGATACAAATTTCCTGTTTATGATAATCTACTTCGCAAATTAGGTAATATTTCCCAAAATTCGAAAATCATTCCCGAAGAGTTGATAATCTACTTTCCTGAAAAGTAGAAAATTCATCTACTTTCGGGAAAGTAGATAACCAACTTCCCGGAAAGTAGATATTTCCCATTTTTATGATACAAATTTCAGTTTTCTATGATAATCTACTAAAATTAGGTAATATTTCCAAAATTCGAAAATCAACTTCCCCGAAAAGTCGATAATCTACTTTCCCGAAAAGTAGAAAATCATCTACTTTTCGAAAGTAGATAACCAACTTTCCCGGAAAGTAGATATTTCCCATTTTTATGATACAAATTTCCGTTTTCTATGATAATCTACTCGCAATTAGGTAATATTTCTCTCGAAAATCTAATTCTCGAAAAGTCGATAATCTACTTCCACGAAAAGTAGAATCTATTCACTTTCGGAAAGTAGATAACCAACTTCCGGAAAGTAGATATTTCCATTTTTGTGATCCAATCCGTTTTCATGACTACTTCAAAAATTAGGTAATATTTTCCCAATTCGAAAATCTACTTCCCTGAAAGTCGATAATCTACTTTCCGAAAGTAGAAAATCTATCTACTTTTCGGGAATATAACCAACTTTCCCAGAAAGTAGATTTTCCCATTTTCATACAAATTTCCCGTTTTCATGATAATCTACCTTAAAAGAAGGTAATATTTTACCAACAAGTCGATAATCTATTTGAAAAGTAGATTATCTACGATCTTTTAATTGTCGTAAGTTCGAACTTAGAGAAAAAATAACTTAGGATTTTTCAATTCTCAAAAGATAGTATCTACTTTTCGGTGACGTAGATTTTCTAGTCGGAAAGAAAAAAATTGGCTCATCATTTTGCCTTTGTAAAACCCCTTTTGTTTTCAATTTTTATTAGGATTATTATAAGCAAAGAAAAAATATATACGACAACATTGTTACTATACAAAAATTTATTGTAATTGATTACAACTTAGGTTAGTTGCCCTTATTGACTACAACCTGTGTACACAGGGTCTCCATAAAGCGCCCCAACCTGGATCATGCAAGGCTACCAGTGTACCTGGTCGACGTGTCTTCGCCAAGTTGGGTAGATATTTACCTTGGTCTCGCCTATCTCTATGCAGACAAGCCTCGGCACCCAGCCCTGGCAGCATCACTGTCCCTACAGACAGCCTGTAGGCATCAGCCTCACTAGCTGTAGACAACTAGCTACTTATAAGCCCTTAGAAGCATCATGTAGATCTTAGGGAGAATCAATCATCCCCAACACACAGAGAGCTCTTAAGAGCCTCACACATCCCCAAGTTGTGCCAAAACATCACATATCCCTTGAAGACACACTGCCTTGTAATTAATTTTAATATGTATAACATTTGAAAACAAAAACAAAATAAAATTACAAAAGTTTGTCCAGAGGAAAATTCATTGTTATAAAGTAAGTTGTGAACACGTCGTAATCTAACTAACTGATAATTATAGAATTTTAAATCATCTTTTAATTAGTCTGTGCCAGCTAGAGAAAACATTGTGTTATACAAATGAAGATGAAAATACTGTACAAAATATCGTAACTTTAATAAAAGTTAGAGACATTGTTGACTTATTTTGTACTAGTTTCATTTCCACTTGTATAACTATCTATTTCACTCTTTGCTGGCACTGGATTAAAAGATGCTAGTTTAAGAATTTACTGTAATTTCAGTTCTTATTAAATCATTACAACTTGCTTGTAACATTATGTCACAAGTTCTCTGCATTTCAATTTTCAATTTCAATTGTTTATTCCTTGATAGAGGAAGGGATCCTAGTGCTGTCACTAGGTAACCCTGTACAACAACACCAGAAGCATCTGGCAAGTGTGACAAGTATATACAGTATAAATATTACAAAGGGGCTTACGAAAGCTATTGAAGGAAGGATATTCTTAACACATAATCAATGTTATTTACATAATATCTGGCCAGTATGGGAGGATCATCGTGTTTCCGTCAGGGGTCGTGGAGGGTGGTCCAGCAGGCGTCACGAAGCGTTGTGTGTGGGGACATCTTAGAGGTAGTGGATATTTCTCGCATTTTAAGTTTTTAAGTGAGCTGAAGTCACTTTAGGCATTCCATTGGTGGACTACAGCAGTGACGTCACCACTAGTAGTCTACGTCAATGGTGGAACAGACCACAAGAGCAATGACGTCATCACCAGTAGTCTGCCCTCATCGAGACAGAAGCCCTTCACTTTACACCTCACAATCAGTCCTTCTCCACTCCTACACCTCACAGTGAGTCCTTCCTCTCACTCCTACACCCAACTGTGAGTCCTTCCTCACCCCCCTACACCTCATAGTGAGTCCTTCCCTCACCCTGTACACCCTCACAGTGAGTCCTTCCCCACCCTTCACACATCACAGCGAGTCCTTCCCTCACCCTACACATCAGTAAGTCCTTCCTTCACTCCTACACATCACAGTGAGTCCTTTCCACACCCTGCACA